TTTTTTTTCAGAACTTGCGGAGGCTTTTTGGGGCAGCTCCGGTGTCCGTTTTTCGCCCGTAAGATATCACCGCGACCGTCTTGACGAGACGAATGCAACGGTGTCCTCGAAGTTGAATTTCGAGCACAGCGTAGAAACTCGAAATTTCTACAGAAGCTCGGAAAAATTCGAAAATAGGCTCGAAAGCTTCAAACCAAGCTCTGATACCACTTGTTGTGGTATCATCCCAAGATCATAAACATAATTTGAGAGAAAAACAAGTTTCTATTACTCACAACAATAATAACACAAGAGATTTACAAACTTTAAACAAAAAACTCTCAAACACTCCACAACTCTATCTTGGTTGTGTTTCAACACTCTCAAGGTTGATTGATCACTCTCAAGGATGATTTGAATGAATAAAATAAACACCCTATTTATAGATATGAATTAGCACACCACCATTGACAAAATGGTGTGAATGAAGAAGGTTTGGTGGAGGTGGTGGCTAGCATTTTTCTTCATTGGTGTGCCATTCAAAGTCTTCATGTGTGTCCAGAAGCTTATTGCATGGAACTTTCAATATATATATACATATATTTACAAAAATAAATTATAATTGAAATGTGAACCAGTAATAATTGTTAAGATAAAAGCTAGTAAACAAGTTGTTAATAAGTATTTGATTAAACAACTAAAGAGCTTGAAATTGTTATAATAATTATCTCTCTTTTTTTTCTTCATAGATTTAGCTGGGATGTGAATAAATGTAGATGCTTTTCTTTGTACAAAACATCTCGAATAGAAACATGTTGTAGTCGTTTGAAGATCACATCATTATTTTAAATATTAGAGCATCTATAATATGCTTGAGTTTGATGATATATAAATTCCAAACAAATGAAAAATTAAAGAATGGAAAATTAATCTACGTGCATGGTATTAAAAAGAATAACTTTTGATTTCTAATCACAGTCTGCAAAGTATTCATTTCTATTAAGTGAATAATCCCATTTGGTGAGCTACAAATTATTAAGTGAATAATTAATACAATGAGTGAATAACTCAATTTGTCTTGAATAGGAGGCCCTACACTAGGCAGCCTAGAATCCACAACACACGCCACAAGATGAAACAAAAAAATAAAAAATTCCCCACAGCAGAATAATACACTCCTCTAAACAAAGAGAAAGCACGACACAACCTCCTAAACAAAAACACGCACAAAACACAAACACAACAATAAAACACAAAACAAAAGAAATTAGAGCCCTTCCCACATCAGCGAAACAAAAAATGAACACCGACGCCGACACCCCCAACTGACCACCCATACAGACAGAGACTCGGTCCAAGCTGCAATGCCAGAAATTGCAGAAAATTTGCCTAACCAGATCTAAGACAAAAGGACCCTGCCCCTCCTCCGGGTCGACCACCCAAGGACCCGCAACCGGAGAAACACAACAAACCCCACCTCCTAACCCCCGACAACCCAAATCTAGGCCACACGACCAGACTCCGCCAAAGACACCCAAACGAAAACAATGAAGAGAAGAGCATGAGAAGAGATGAGAGTGGAACATCTCAGATCTCCGCCTCGACCACCAGCGAGGGGATGATAGGAGCCGCAACCAATTCTCTCAACTTCGTCGGAAGCCCGCCGCTACCAAGACGCCGAAGGTGATACCCACCGTGGCGCCGAAAAGGAGGCGAAAACCAAGGCCGATCTCCTGCCGTCTCATCCGAAGAATAGGCCGCCGCCACATCCGACATGTCTCTGAAAGCCCGTCGTACGACACGGTGAAGGCCGCCGTAGTGGTGGCCCGAAGGCTCTGCTGTGGGAAGGTAAGAAAGTTTTTCGGTTAGGTTTTTTTCTTTTCCTTTTTTTTTGCGAAAGAGGGGAAATGTGATGGAGAGAGATGATAATTAGTTAACATGCCGGTTAGTTCCCTCTAAATATATCATTTTAAGTAACGGTTAAAATGACATCTAAGATTATTTCTTACAAAATGTTAATGTAAATATCATAATATAAATATCTAATAACAAACGAATATACTAAAAATTAAAAACACACAAAGAAAACATCATAAGATAAGTCATAATTTAATTTTAAACATATAAATTGTAATAATTTTTTTTAACTTAGTTACAATTTAATCCTAACCACTAGATATATTTCACTATTCAATATAAGACTTTGCATCTTCAAACCTTTCATTTTAAATCATTATAAATAATTTTAATTTTTAATTGTCATTGAAAATATAATTCTAATCCCAAAAAAAAAAATTCTAGACTGATCAATGAAAATAACTTTGTGTTATATATTACTATCTAATATTTATTGGGTTTATAGTCTTTACACTAGTATACATATCCAGATATGAAAAGAATTTTCTAGTTTTATTATTATGGATTTTATATTATTATTATTATTATTATTATTATTATTATGCATTTTATATTCTCAGGTAACAAAAATCCTAATACATAGAATATATCTCTAAAACCATATAGAATTCACAAAAAAAAAATTATAACCATTTAGTAAAATCCTAAAAAATATTTTAGAATCTTATGAATACACCATAGATAACAAAAAAATTATAGGAAAAAAAAAAGAACAACAAAAAGAAGAGAAATAAGGCGGCAATGGCGGGCAACACACCGTCTGTGCGTACAAATACATACATAGATAGGAAAAGACAAAGCGGAGGCAGAGACGGAGAGAGCCCGACGTTGCGATGGGGACCGCCATTAACAACAGCAAAGCTTCAGCCGCCGAAAACGACGTCGTCACCGCCTCCGCCCACTCTCCTCCCCCTTCGGACCGCCCCCTTCGCGTATACGCCGACGGGATTTACGATCTGTTCCATCTGGGCCACGCCCGCTCGCTCGAGCAGGCCAAGAAGCTGTTTGTTTCCCTTTCCCCATTTCACGATCGCATTTTAATTTCTGTTTTCGATTTAGGTTTCTGATTTCTTTTTCGCTGGTGGAAAAATGATTCGCATACGAGTGAGATTATGTTGTTTCTTGTTGGTGATTAGCTCTCGAGGTTTTCGATTATATATTCTGGTGGAATTTTATAGCTCGGTCTGCATGATTGATTCATTCAATTGATTGATACCATGTACGTTTATTAGGTTCCCGAATACGTACTTGCTGGTCGGATGTTGCAATGATGAGACTACTCATAAGTATAAAGGGAAGACCGTCATGAACGATGCAGAACGTTATGAATCCCTTCGCCATTGCAAGTGCGTGCGTCTACTTTCACACATGCTCTGTTCTGTTTAGTCTGTTTTGTTCTCTTGATCCTTCGTATCATGGTATTAATTTATTTGTACCTTTATGTGTTTTAGCTTCTATCTATGGTTACGTACATGAATTTGTGGTTATTTTCTGCGCGTACTGTTTTTCATCGTGTTTTCGTGTGGTTCAATCCGGGATTAGGATTGTGTTCCATTTATTTCCTGTCATGGTTTCGTTTACTTGCTCCTTCTGGTGCTGAGTATATGTGATTGGCCTTGTAATTTTAATATTTTGCTTCTTTGTTCTTCTTGTTGGCAGGTGGGTCGATGAAGTTATTCCGGATGCTCCATGGGTGATAAATCAAGAGTTTCTTGACAAGCACTGTATTGATTTTGTGGCTCACGATTCTCTTCCGTAAGAGCTCTTCATCTTGTTACTTACTTTTTTCACAATAGATTTTTTTTTTTATAGGCTGGTTAGAGGTATTAAAAGCTTATGCAAGAAGGTCATATTTGGCGCTGGTGTTTATGTTAGTGCTTTAATTTGGATTTACACTGAGTAAGAGTTTTGAGGTTTAAGATAGATTGAGCTGGGGTTGTTTGCACTCATTCACATCTGCATATTCCATTTCCATCCACCTAATGCCACTTTTGGACGAGTGGCTTTCTACTGTAGTTAATGTGCATGTCAAATTATTTTCCTTGATCATACATGAAGATGACGTGTGCGTTAGTCTACTATGTGTTTTAACCCCCAGTAAAACATACCCCGTTTTTTACAGTTATGCAGATGCAAGCGGAGCTGGAAATGATGTTTATGAATTTGTAAGCATAACATTCTACCTTCTAATTCTTTCAATTTCGATGTATATTTATAAAGCTCTCGGAGTGCCAGTAGTTGGTGGTACCTTCCGATGTTATCCAACGATCATAGAATAATTTCATATTCAAATTCAGGTGAAAGCCGTTGGAAGATTTAAGGAGACTAAAAGAACTGATGGAATATCAACATCAGATGTCATTATGAGGATAGTGAAGGATTACAACCAATACGTAATGCGCAATCTCGATCGTGGGTACACAAGAAAAGAGCTTAACCTTAGCTATGTCAAGGCACGAAAATACCTCATCCACCAAAACCTGTGTTAAATTAATTACAGTGTCTCGCTTTAACCATGCTGATGATATTGTATGTTTTTTTTCATATGGGCAGGAAAAGCGAATAAGAGTGAATATGAGACTCATGAAGTTTCAAGAGAAAGTAAAAGAGCAACAAGAAAAGGTTGGGTAAAATGTGTCAAAACTCTTACTAGTAAAAGAAAAATTCGGCTTACCATTTCCCATATGCAATTTCTTTCAATTATCTCGATTGAATCACAAAATCGAAATCTATAGTTCTTTTGTTTTCATCTCTGTCACTTTCCTTATTCGTTTGTCATGCCTTGCTCATTTGTTGATCCGTTTTTCGTCTTTAAATTAAACCTCTCTCAGATACAAATTGTTGCGAAAACAGCTGGCGTGCATCCTGATATGTGGGTCGAGAATGCTGATCGATGGGTTGCTGGGTTTCTTGAAATGTTCGAGGAAGGCTGCCATAAAATGGTAATAAAAAAAAAAAAACTAGAATCTCAAACTGACTAACTAGATACATTATACATACAGCCTTTTGTTCTAGTTTATCTAATTATTTGAATTGCTGTTTGTCAGGGCACGGCCATTAGAGATCGAATTCAAGAGAGTTTGAGGGGGCAGCCTAATGGCCATGGGAGTAGTAGTGATGCCGACGATGACAAAGACTATGACGTCAGCGATGACGATAGTTACTATTATGACGAAGAAGAATATTACGACCATGAAGAATTTTACGAAAGTGACGAGAAACAATGATTACCCCCTTTTTTCAGTTGTGATCTGCCTGTAGGAGGGCTGTTTATACTTGGGTTTCGTGCCGAGTGTAGTAGAATAAATGTGTTGAGTTTTTAGATTTGGTGTTAGCTACCAAGTGTAGATACTCTTTTACAATAATTGTTGACATCCACCAGAGAAATCCAATGTAAAAATCTTATTCAAGAGCGCCGGTAAAATGTTAGAACACAAACACTGGATCCTGCCTTGAAAAAGTTTGACAGATCATCAACCAGTGGAGCTTCTTCTTCTTCTTCTTTATGCATTAACTAAATATTAATATCATTTAGAACATACAAATGTCTAAATCGTACTTATTTATATCAGGTCCATTATATTTAAATATATATTTTTGTAAAAATATATTAAAACTACTTTTTAATAAAATTAAAACCAATAAACACGAGGAGCCGGATTTCTCGACCTCCAATGAAAAAGAAAAGAAAAAATAATAAACAAAGAAAACGCTATGCTTGGTTAGCCATCCTTTTCTCGTGACGACGCATTGCATTGTTTGGTTAGCCATCCTTTTCTCGTGAGACGACGCATTGCTTTGTTATCCATCATTCTCATTCCTGTGAGGCTAGGGCTGCAAACGAGCCGATCCGAGTCGAGCATTGGCCTTATCGAGCAATCCGGCCAGTGAGGCACGAGCACGATGAGAGGAATTTGTCTATAAATCCACAACAATTAACCCTCTCAGAACATCGCAGAAAGAAAACAATTTCCCCTCTCTTCAACCTGTCAAAACATGAATTTCTTTTCATCGGCTCTAATATTCTCACCCCGTCGGAGACAAAGCAAGCGGCGGGAGCATAGGCCGGAGTCTGCCTTCCTGTGGTGGGGCGGAAGGTGGAGGCCCTGAGCCCGGAGAGGAGCTTCTTCTTCGTGCTGAAGTCGTTTGCCGCCGGCGTGATCCTTTGGACTGGGTTCATCAACGTGTTGCCGGACGCTTTCGAGAGCCTGACCTTACAGTGCCTCGTCGACTGGCGGCGATTTTCCGTTCACGGGGTCATCTTACACTTTGGTTCGTAATTTTATTATACAAAAGAAAAGTAAAAAAAAAAAATAAAAAAAAAATCAGAATTTCAGGCCCACTTGGCCAAGATCAACATGCACCCTGCACCCAAAAGAAGAGCAACAGTGCAACCCAGCCTCAGCTTAGAACTTCCCTGCATTTTGGGTCCCATGAAATCGGCGGAAAGCAAACCAACGAGCGCCATATAGATCAAAATCCCTGCCGACGCAGAGTTGAAAAGGCCTTGCACGATGAGGGTGGTTGGGTTCGTCTCGCTATACACGCTGGCAATCCCCATGCGGAATAACCATCTGACATCGGGATAGCCAGCATGTATAGCGAGACGAGCCCGACTGCCCTCATCGTGCAAGGCCTTTTCAATCCTGCATCGGCCGGGATTTTGATCTACATGGCGCTCGTTGATTTGCTTTCGGCCGATTTCATGGGAAGTTCTAAGCTCAGGCTTGGTGCTACTATTGCACTTCTTCTGGGTGCAGGGTGCAACTTACACTTGGCCAAGTGGGTCTGAAATGTCATTTATTTTTTTCTTTTCCTTTTGTACAGTAACATTACGAACCAAAGTGTAAGATGAGAGGCAATGTTAGAATCAGTTAAACTAGTCGTGATTAATAATAATATTTTTCATTATATTCGTGTTTGGGTTTCATTATCTTTGTGTAGCTTATCATAAATCAGATCATTAATTAGCATTAGTTAGGAGATGAAGTGTTTAATTACACGACTTTCAGCTATTTTATATCAGAGCAGCCCGGCCGTCGTTTTACTTTATTCTTCTAAGCTAATTAATTACTCATTGCAGCGTAAAAACAAATTAAAGGGAAAAGAGAAGAAATCACAAATCTGATAAATTTTTATTAATCCAAAAGCCATGAGATCCCAAATTAATAAATAAAAGAGTCCTCAAATCCTCAACCTTAACTTGCTAGTCAAGAATAAGATATTTTCTTAATTTAAATAAACCAAACGAGGGAACAAAAATAAATAAATATCATAAAGCAATAAATATTCATGAATTCTAAAGTCGGAGGGATTGTAATGAGCGAGATAAATCTGGTCGCCATCATCTTCCCTCGGTTGAGGAGGATTTTGCCCCCGAATCTAGATCGATCTTGTAGTCGTCGGAACTGTCACATCGATAAGGAACAAGATGTTGAACATAATTGATATGCATTGGGGTTTATCTTCTCCACGATTTCGACAGGGCAACCTTTCCGAGCGGATAACTTATTGTACTCATGAGTTGAGAACCGGTCCTTCGCCGACACAGCCCAGACGAAGTCACCCAGCTCGAATTCCACATGGTGGCGACGAGCATCGGCACGCATTGTGTTGTTGCGAATCGTGTATTAGATAATATGATTTTGCGAAGACGGTGCGCTCGCAGCCTTCCGTTCGTCCGAAAAATCGTGAGAAAACCCGCGCTAGGGCCTAGTTTTACGCCCTTGAGAGGACGATCATTATGATCGATTTTTCGCAAGTGTTTAATGGAAAGCCACCCCTAAGAATAATCACGTTAAAGTCCAAGTCTCTCTCTTTCTAAGAATAATCACACCGTTAAAAAGTCGTTTTCAATCCAATCAAGTCCTAAAATTTAAAACGAGAATAAGTCCTTTGACCCCAAAATTAATGTTAAAGAAATTCAAATTCAAGTCTAAATAAGACCAATTGTCAAATTCATTTGAAGATCAAATTGAAGTCCACGAGAAGTGAAGAATATAAATAGAGATTGTACCCACATAATTATTAAATCATAATAAAATCAAGTTTTACAAAAATTTTATATTTTTCATAAAATTTATAGTAACAAATTTGGCACGGCTAGTGGGAGTCTAATAAAATTCATTGTCACAGTATGAAATGTTGTATGGTTTATGGTGTGAAAAGTGTGAAAAGACTTGAAGAATTGCTTATACATATAGTTCAGCTATCCAAATATGTTATTTTATTATATGTTTTTTTTTTTTTT